ATTGATAGCCGTTATTGAAATATATGCTAGTTTTTCTTTGTTGATTTATATCGCCAGTTAAAATAAGCTGCTTTAAGCATGCGGATTTTTCAATTTTTGCTTCCTCATAGAGGAAGCTTTGTGAGCGAAATAAAAATTAAAATGATTTCTTTCACCGGCACTCACCAAATTCAGTACCAATCATCCTTTAATAATATTCTATTCATGTAAAAAAATTTAATCCGATATATCGAAAATTTGCGAAAGTTACAATGTATACAGACATTTCTAAAAAATTTAAAATTTTATAAAAAATATATTATCTAAGTTTAAAAAAATGGCAAAAAATATTATTAATTTTCTCTCCATTCTTTAAAATCGACTTTCTTAAAAACGAAGAATTTTTATTTTCTCGAAAAAATATTTTATTTATTCTGTATTTTTCACATAGAATTATATAAAAAAGATATTCTTTCGGAATCTTTTCCCAGGTTACATAACCAATGATGGACGCATGTTTTTACGCTCAATTTCATTCTAAAGCTTAATCGAATGAATGATTTTTGATCTCGCGGAAGACATTCCAGCCGCGTTCTGGTCGTAGGCGAGGTCTGGCTCGGCGAATCCCGAACCGGACGATGCTCGTAACTCTCGGCCGCGATAATAACGCGGCGACGAGGTCTATAAACGAGCGGGCCACGTACGGGCCGGCTCGTTTTCCACCGTGTGCGGCGGGGAATGTTCAGTATTTCGTGGATAAATTTAGCCTGGGTCGCGCGTCGTACGTTGCCCGCGCGCTTTTAATGTCCATTGCGGGCTTCCGAGGAAGACGGAGTTGTTTGCTCCGAGGACTCCTCTCCTTCCCGACCGACGAGTCTGCGAGATGCAGGCAGAGAGCAACGGGAATTTTGCCGGTCGCTGGTACATAAAGATCCCACGAAATCCCCGATCTCATTGTCTCACCTTGATACATGAAACTGGAACTTGCCAGGCGCATTGTAATAGGATTGTCTTTGCGCGTTCCTAGCAACCGTACAGTTGCAGTGCCAAGATATTAAATCACGTTTACAGGAATAATGCAGTTAGTTCGTTATTACGTGAAGATTCTATTTCGCAAGCGCGTATACGGCGTTTCGCATATCTGTCGGTTGCGCCGACTGTTTCGATGTCGAAACATTATGACATAACCACGAACTTATTTGATTATTATTCATGTTCCGATTAAAACTATATTATGATTGTTATATTAATTTGAGTAAAATATAAAATTATATTATGTTATGTTCATTATAATTAAAAATTATATTTATTTTTTATTATATTAGTTATTCAAATTATATATCAATTTATGACATGAAAAAATAAATTTCTACAAAGATCTGTATACGATTCATAATGCGTCAGTTTCAAATCAAGCAAGATTTATGATTGCTAAAATGCAAAACAATTGTAGGAGCTCTGGATGATCATAATCTCGAACGCTTAATCTCTCATGTCTGTTATGTGTGTATGTATGCACTTGAAAACAATAGAATCGGAAAGATTCATAGAATCTGTAGTTGCTTATTGAACCACTTCGTCGTTCTCTCATTGTTTCATTTCTTTCTGTGAGATTTCTAGCCTTGTAGCGAATTTCATCTAAAAGGAACTCTCTGGATATAATTGAATCAGCGTGAGATGAGAAAAAAACCTGGATCTTTGTATCAATTAATATCTATATTAAGAAAAGCTTATATTAAATTGCAGATGAATGACAGAATATTTAAAAAATACTTTTATGTATGTGTGTCATTTAAAAATAGTCTTTATGTGATAATTTTCAATGTGAAAAATTGTTTTTAATATTTCTCTTTTTTTTTTATTAAGCAAATTTATTTATTTTACGGTAAATATTTATTCTCATGATAAGTCCATGCCTCGTTTATAAAGTTGTCGAAATCGCGCGTAGGTAATCAATCCCATTGTAAAGCTTTATTTCTATTTGTGATCCTTTATTGAACAAAATTTTGTGTATTTTTACTTCCGTTGTAGTTATATATAGCTTATAATTACAGTATTGCAAACGGTTAAACCAATTTTTAATTGAGGTAAATGCGCTTCCTCTCGTGACCATATTTCCATTACTCCAGTTTTTATTTTTGATTCTGAAATAACGCACGGTCACCTAGTTTGTGAATCTCAATATTATTGACGCTTGTAATTTACTAAATAGCTTTTACATATAGTAAATAAAGCAATCAATCATTGTTTTTTGAAATGCTATTAATAAAATACGGAAATTTAATATATTAGAAAGTACAGCATATTTATATTCAATGTTCGCGTAAAGAGAAGAGAGAGTGCATATAAAAAAATTATATTGTTTTAATAAAAAATTTGATTAATTTACTTTTATTAACGTAACTTTAAGAGATAAAAATTTTTATTGGATATTTTTACATAGAAAAGAAATTACAATACCTATATTTTATTCTCGATAAAGTTCTCGTTATAATTAAATCTTTTATGCGAATATAATACTGCCTATAAATAAATTAGACCAATTGTACAAAGAGCAACTAACTTTAAATGAAACTCTTCCATTGGAATCAATTCGTAATAAAAGTCACTTTTATCAGTCATATCAATGTTTGTAAAATTTTTCTCTGGACATATATTTTTTCCGTATATTTATCTACTTATATTTATAATACAACTGAATACTTTAAAAATGTATATAAAAATACGCGTTTAAAATGACAATTTAGCTGCTATTATTGATATCAACGTGGCTGGATTTTATTGGTCGTATATGTTATTACGAGCCGACATTTGCGGATTACAGCTCGATCGATCGTTGCCTACATACCGCGATTAATAGATCGCCATTATTGGCTGTTTAGAACTTTGTACAGAAGGCTGCAGTTAAACGCGAAACTACTTCCGCGCGTTCGCTAAAGCGAATCTCGTTGGACATTACGTACGTTCCTGCGATACGTTCTCCCGTGTGTCGTACAGTCGACTACAATGGCCAAGTTAAAATTCAGAACTTGCAAAGTATGTGTCCGGTGCGCGTAATAAAATCAATTTCGCGCGTCTATTTCTCGAATCTGTTTGTTTCCTCCCGACGAATTGTCCAAATCAATTTCCCTCCGCTTTGCGTGTTCGCCAATACTTGAAGCCTTATCGATGAAGGCTCTTATGTTTTATCTAATGAATACTTCACGCCTTCTAAAGGGCATCCTGCATCGCGTGAACGAACATTGTAGTATCGTGGCCTTTGCATTATCTTGCACGGGACGGTGGCTTTGACTATAAAAATATGGACTGCCAGTAATTAACTTCAGACTTGTAGTCAAGATGTGTCGTGCCGCCATCGACCAATTGAATAATGAGAGAACTAAAAATTTTACTATTCAAATGTCTGATTTATTACACATGACAAAATATATGTCACATTATGTTATAAATTAAGTAATGCCATAACGCTTATTCTAAAAGCTAAAGATAAAGAATGATTCGATTGTTCTTAATATTCAATAGTAAATGTGGCAGAGTACTAGTCATATATGTCATCAAGTTTCATATAAAATATATAAATCGACATCAATCAAAAAAATATTTCAAGAGATTGTTAAAACAGAATTTCGATTTAATTGCATCATGGAATTATCACAGATCAAGCTATGTATAATAGGAAGACACAGTGAACAAACATTTTGATGAGATTTAAAAGCTCTTTTACATATCTATTTATACATAAATTTCCAACTAAATTGTGTATATTATCGTAATGTTCGATAAATCGGCGTTACAATAATTAATTAGAATTAAATAAAAATGATTATTTTTAATGGTCAGTAAATGTATATACAAATAATTATTATAAATATTAATATAAAAGTTATTTATGTTTTATGTATTGATTTATGTATTTATTAATGTTATTATTTGTTATTATATTCAAATTTTATATTTAAATACATATTACATTTCTTGTATACATTTGTTTTATTATCTTATTTATTTTTCCTCTTTATATTTATATTAATATTTTGTTATAAATTTTCTTGTGCACATTTCTTTAATAATAATTAATTTTACATTTTTAATAATTTATAAACATTTTATATACATCAAAAATTATAATTTTTAATTTTTTAAATATTATTTTGTAATTAAAAGATAGAAAATACAATTGTATTTCAATAGATGCAGTTTATTTCCGGGTCTTTGGTCGATGAGGCGGGGTTTAAATATCGAAGATGTTGTATTCATTGTGGTGCACAGAAATCTTATAAGAAAAGTGAGAGACTGGCAGTCTATACTTTTATAGTCAAAGATTCAAGATCGTTGATAATCAACGAAACGTTTATTTTTTAATTTTCTCGATTAAAATCAAAAAGATAAAATTCACACAGTATCTTTGAAATATTAATACAATTAATATTCAATGATCGATAATGTTCTTACTAATACGTGGCCGTATAATGTTGTAAAATGTCGACTGTAAAATGTAGGCTGTAAAATGTAGACCGAATCGCTCAGTGAATATATGTCCGTAATAAAAGCACACAAGGCCATTTATTTAGAAAATAATAATTTTTGTGACTAGACAATTCAATATACGCGTTAATTATTTTAAATCGCCTACAGTCACATCATTGTAGTTAGCCATCTTTCGCACACGAATATATAGACCATTCGTAATATTTGTTTTAATCAACGAGCAACAACAAAGAGATAACTGCGTAATAATATGGTTAACATGCGTGTAATCACGATTGATTAAGTTTTTATTGCTATTTACCAACATAAATAACGAATCCTATATAATATTTGAACAAAAGTATCTTTCATCTATTATTCGTATATATAATATCGCCGGTAAATTATTGAAAAACAGCATTGTTTTTTCCGTAACTTTTTCAGAAAGAGGTATCGATGTTTCTCGATTATATCATATCATAATTAACATAATTCTTGTATAGTCGTCGTTACAATTACCCAACGAAATCCAACATGTAATTTTATCTATTTAGGGCAGAGATTGACGGTGAACAAATTTGAAGATTTTATAGCCTGCACGGAGAGATTTACAACTCGCGCGCACGCAGATGACATACCCGCATCAGGCGACAAAGCGTTCATGACGGATGGGAGGGATAATAGAAACTCTGAGAAAGAGAGAAGAGAAGCCCCGCGTTTCTATCATCCTAGAAAGGCGTTCAAGTTGACGCCGTTACATTTTGAAGAACGCTTAACGATGATGCCCGGCCGTGCAACTCACAAGGCGTCTTACTCGAAATTAACGGGGGACTCGGTGTGAGATGAAGAGAGGTATCGTGCTGAATCTACTTGGGACTTGAACCGACGATGTCAGAACTTTCGACGGTATTTACCGTCGGTGAAGAGGAGGAGGAGTCGCGCCTAATTATCGCGAGTATCTTACATCACTGCGTGCGCTGAGGGGATAGATGGAGATAAAGAGAAGAGAGCAGATCAACAGCGACGGTTTTAGTAAATGCAGAGTCTAAAAGCGTGAAACATTAGTACATAACAAATTGTTGGAACTTTCATTTAATTGAAAGACGGTTCTAATGGCATAATTAAACTAGAATAATAATAATAAATGCTAAGTTGTAAAAAGATGGAAAAGTTAAATTAGACAAAATATTTTAATAAATATACTATTATCACGTCGTTATAAATAAATATCTGCTTTAACAATTTTTGCTTATCTTTTCCTATAATCACTGCGGTTCTTTTTATCAAAGAGAGATATGGCGAGAAATCCATCACTGATGATGAACATGGAGGACGAAAGAAAATACCCACGAAAGTCTTTGATGTCTATGACGAATTTAGAAGACAAGCGAAAGATTGCAGAAGAAAGATGAACGAGGAGAGAGAAAGAGAGAGAGAGAGAGGGATGAGAGAACGGACGAGAAGGACTTGTCTTCGTATTACAATGCGAAAGTTTCCAGTCGCGGACTTCGCATCTCGAGCGCAAACTCGTTAACCGTCTCCGACGTTCGCTTCCCGCGTTAGGAAAAGCACCGCAAGTAATACGTGCGCGAGAAAGTAATATTAAAAAAAGAAAAAGTAGAGGCGAACATGAACATTGATGCATAATAAACGCGATGCGGTTGAGCTTGTATTCGTTCATTACGCGCGATCGTGATATAGTGATTATCACTCTATATCAAGGCGATGCTTATATGAACATTGATGTATAGTGACGTTATCCTTAAAGGAAATTGCTTCTTAAACGGAGCCCTCATCTCGTTTCCGCAAATGGGAGACAAAAGTTTCGCCGTTATACTTTTAATGAATATTAATAATTCGTGCGCGGTATGTGCTATCTTCATAATTATCACAGCTATTCGGAGCCGCCGCGTCATTTCCCGACAACCCAACGCGCCGACCATTTTTCATTAGTAATTAGTATGCTCAACGAAAACCCGTTAAATGCGCGCGCAATGAAGCGTGATACGCGAAAAAGAATATCATCGATTGATATTTATCACCGTATAATCAAATAAATGCGGAGATACAATATATTCGGATATGTATATTCGGACGGCAGTTTCAACTTTCAACAGACGGCAAAAAAAAAAAAAAGAGGACGTAAAGAGACGTGAAATAAACCGTTTAACGACGAGAGAAGTATGCGTTAAAGCTTCTTTCTTTATTTCGATCAGAGTTATTAAATGTGCAAATAAATAGCCAACGGCGGACGGATTATACGATGAACTAAAGCGTAAAAGCTTGCTGAATAAATTGAAAACGGGGCGAAAAGATCAGCCTTGCGAGAAAAAGATTTAACGCGTCTGAATGGTAATTAAATTATTTTCATCTCACGATGGGATGAGATCACGCTGTAAACGACATAACGAGAGAGCGTAACGACCGAAAGATATTCGAGGGAATTAGTTGAAGAGCAATGGTAAAATTAATCTCGTTCGACTATTCGTGAGATTCGGCTTTCGCGGTAACGTTACCGCGCGATCTCTTCCCGTGTAACATCGAAGAGAATTTACAATAAAGCGATTAATTCATATTTCATATTGCTACATCGCAATTCGAGATTCGCGCGCGCGCGAGCACGCATATCACGGCGCCGGCGGAGCTTTGAAAAGTTTAATTACGAATTCTGATAGGAATACCCACGGTGACATAGGTGGTCCCAATAATATTTCCAGCGACCAACGAACGGGAAAGCGTGGAAAAGTAAGCAGAGTAACTCGAGCCTGAAACACGCGTAACACACGGAGATTCATTTCGTCGGAGAGATCCCGCAGCGCGAATTTTACGAAAGAAAATCCGCGTTTTCGCGCCGGGCGATTTGCATACGCTATTTTTTCGCGGGCAAAAAAAGCTATTTGACGTTCTGAATCCGCGACGTTTGAATGTCGCCTTGACGTCAACACGACGTCACCATAATGTCACCACTGTCGTTGCACGAATGGACCGCATTCGGCAATTTGCATTCCGACCGCCATCCGCGTGGTATTATTCCGCCGACGGAGCTTTTTCTTTTTTTCTTTTTTTTTTTCACTTGCGAAACCCCACATACCCTTCTGCTTTCGTATTCGACATTAATTTAATACTCTTCTTCCACCGACGGCGCGCGGCAGCGTTGTCAAAACTTTACATTATAACATTCGCCATTCCATTTCAATATTCAGAATATCGTCCCTCTCGCATACGAAATTAACGGACGATAAAATTACCGGCCATTTCAATTACGATTATTTAACCGTTAATTTTATGAGAGAGGGACACATGATTCTGTATGGGCGCGCACACACACGCGTAAAATGCGATGCGAACGATGACGTGAAATGTCCGGAAGATTAATTGGCCGTCATGCCTCGTTCTTCGTATCAATATTTCTGCCGTAAATATTGGCATTTATTCAACATTGTTTTTATTCCGTATCAATTGTTTCGTGATACACATATCGCAGCGAAACCGTTATTATCACGAAATTATACAGGCATATCTAGTTGTCTATTATCTTTGACAATGGATGGGAATGTATGCTTGCCACGTGGTAAGATCCGGGATTCACAGCCCGTCGTAGCTCAGCCGTGTCAGCCGCCGCCGCGGTTGATAGTATTTATCGCCGCTTTCTACGACCCACAGCCCGATCAAGATTACAGAACGTTTTTCCTCGCCGTCTTTCCGCGGGTCGGAGGAAGCGCAGGTAGCTTTGGAAGATCGATGGTTATTGTCGTTGATTACGGTTGTACGAAATGCAAAGGAATCGAGGCCCCGGCGAAATCGCGCGTCGCGTTACCTTTTGTGATGCATACAGGTAGCATCAAAAGTCGCGTTCTCTAATCTTGACGAAAATTTTACAAATTCCTTACATAAAAAAGTACATATACTTTTTCTCACTCCTTCATCATTTAAACGTTTCGTGCTTTATAAATTGTTAAAATCTGCCGAATTAATTAGAGCGTGTGAGATTTTTTTTTATCATCTATGTTCACTTTTTTAAATAATTTGTTTCATTCTTTTCAAATCGTTTAAATATTCACAATCCATCAACGTCTCGACATAGACACATACGGCGGTATTTTTCCCACTTAAAATTCCTATTATATCAGCGATTGAAAAAAAAAACGCGAAACTCTCGGTACACTCGGTATATATATATATAAATATAGCAACGCTTTATTACATCCAGACAGAGCAATGTGTCACGATGCAAAACCGCCATTGTAATTAACGTAAAAGTCGCGAATGCGGTTGGCATCGCGCTCTCCATGACGATCTGATATGCGGCTCGCAATGTCTCCATTTTCACGTTCCCCTGATCGTAGCGGGAGGTAGGGGGAATTCAAATTTAACGTCGTAGTTACGTTAATTGGCGCGAGCTAAATCGACGAGTCATCGTATCAAAGAATCCGCGGCCGCTCCCCTTTCCCCCCTGCCCCTCTCCTCCTTCTCATCCTTTCCGCTCTCGCATTTCTCGTGTCGCGCAACAATACGGGGTGGGGGGGGGGGCGAGGAGGGGAAGAGAGGGGGGCGCGCGCGGGTTTCATTTGCGCTTCCGGCGCACGCTCTTTTTAATATCCTCCGAGGATATTCGCGCGGTTTTACAATTCATACGTGTAGGCGGCGATAGCAACGGCACCCTCTCCTCCCCCCTCCCAGCGGGGTGCTCGCCGGGTTAATTAAATTTACCGCCGCCCCCGTCACGGCACACGGTTTCCGTCTCGTTAAGGTTACGACCTTCGCGTTTCATCTTGGTAAAGCGACACACAATCCGCGTGACAATTCGTTTCTCTCTCCCGCGTTCACCGGAAGCCTCGACGCTACCTCGCCTGCCCCTGGGACCGCGAGTCGTTCTGCATTACAAAGCCGGCCTCCTTCCCCCCCCTCCCTCCACCCTTCGCTCTCCGCTCTCTTCCTCCTTTTCAACGGTACCCTCTTCCTTTCCGCGACTATGCCTTTTATGCATAGGACTATTGGCGGGACGAGACGGTCTCTCTGTGATCGGGACCGTCGTAAAATCGCGTTCTTCCGTTTATTGTTGCTCGATGAAAACTAGCTCCATATCGAAAATAACCGCGCGTTTCCTGTCGGTCGTCGAATAATTAAAGTATCCGGACGATATATTATACATACATATTCTCTAATGTAGGATATTTCTAAAGATAAACGCATGGAGCATATATCGTCAGGCGATATTTTCAAAGGTATAATTTATGCATCGTATATATAAGATGCACACCCGCACACAGCAGCTATACGCAGATCTTTTATATGCAGATCTTTTGTACATCTCATGCAAGCATTTTTTTTTTTTTTTTAAAGGAGAAGCAATAGTCGAAAGTATGTATATAGCGAGCAGATCGAAAATATCACTCTTAAAACGTGTTATTCGCGAGTCATTTTGCCGATCGGCGAAGTGAGAGCGTTACAAATTAACGACTTTCCAGCAGTTTCATAGAGACCGTATCATTAAATTGCAATTTTCGCAGCGGTTTCCGTCGAGGCTCGTTAGACGAAATTTTCGTGGCTTTACCGTTCCCATTGATGCGATGGTCGGCCGAGCAGCGAGAGACGAGTCGAATTATCGATCCGATCAGGTGGTGGCTGGCTGATCGCGTTCGCGGACAAGCTCTTCCTCGATGACGAGGATATTATTAGCTCGACGAAGGTTCGGGTTGATGAGCTTGCGCCAAGAAGGCGGCTGCTTCCGCTCATCCGTAATGCTATCGTTCACACTTTCCCGCCCATCAGAGGAGCGGAAGCGTGCCGGACGACCGTGCCGGTGCATCCGGTATATATCTCTGCGTCCTTCTTAACCGTCGACGATTAGTGCCGTTTTGCGCCGATTGTTGTCAGAATTCATCCAATCGAGACGCACTCATCTCGTCTGCGGAGCTTCGACGACTTTGGACGGTCTAGTTATTCGAATGATAAATAAAATAGAAGGAAAAGCCGCAGGCGGATATTTATTTATATTGATTACGTTTTGATAGTCTTTTACCATCTTCTATCTAGGACAGAGTTACGAGTTTCAAGAGGATTTGAAAAACGGATAATTCTCGCGTAAATTATAAGCTGCAGGGCTGCAAGGAGATATAGCAAAACCTTACTTTTCATTTAAATTCCACTGAACTTCAATAGATTTTTAATTTGAAGACTAA